TCAACTCTTATCACCAAAACGTATTTTGAACTCTATTAATATTTTTTTTTTTTTTTAAAAAGCATTTTTGAAACTCTCTTCACCAAAATTTACAAAAAAAATAATATATTTACAATAAATGGTCAATTAGTGAATTTCACGCACGATTTTTTAGATATATATATATATATATATATATAAAGGATTTCTAGTCAGGTGTCGTTTTCCATATGGATACTTTTGGCTTCTTACATATTTAGTTATATTTAATAATGAAGTAAATACCGTCATTTCAAAAATTAAATTAATAAAAATAATAGAATATTTTATTTATAAGTTAACACACTTTCTCTCAAGCAAATAAAATCTTTTAATTCAACCAGTGTACTTAAATTTACAGAAGATACAAAAGTTTAAAAATGAGAGAAAATTCAAATCAAACAAAAATTAATTAAGTTTTGCATGACCTTCGTTTATAATCTCATCTAAATAATTCAACCTTATAAAAGAATATAATTTATTGTTTACATAATAATAATCATTATATATATATATACACACACACACGCGCGTATGAGAAAGAGGATCAAACAGAATTAAGTTGAGATGGGCAAGTCCATTTGATTTCTGCAGGGCATGGGGATGGAGTCGTGAATGGGGGAAAATAAACAAATAATAAAAGTAAAAGTGTAATTGAGTCCGGACCCACCACGTGCTCAAAAAACCAAGTGTAATCTTAACGTGATCCTCTTGAAAGAGAAAGATTGTATTTGTATCCAATAGCTGTTTTATTTTTCTAATATGACATTTTTAAATGTCAACTGTCTCTCAATTAGATAGTTGATAATTTAATTTATTTATTTTTAAATAAAATTATGGACTGTAATTTTGTATATATTTTTTATTAAAAAAATAATTATATCATTTACTATTATTAAAATACTAATGATAATATTATTGATGTACAAATGTTATTTAATTATTAAAATATATGAATTAAAAAAGTATAATCTTAAATAATTTCTTTATCATATGAGTTTAGTGCATTTCATATATTTATATTTTTTATTTCTTGACATCTCTTTATTAACATAAATACAACTAATTATTAATTTAAATATACGAGTAAATTAATTTTGTATGCATAAAATATTAATTAGTTAGGATATATAAAAGAGAAATATATAATTAGACTTTAAAATGTCAACAATAAATACAATACAGATTACTATGAATTTATGTTAGTGTTCTTAGAGAAATGTTTTTTTATTGGTTTCAAATCACCTTAGATTTGTCTTTCAAATTACATGTTCCCCCCCCTCCGGTTGTAGGTTATGGGACACCACGGATGGATAGACACATACATGTTATATGTACATATATGTATATATGTATATATACATGTATGTATATAGACCGACAGGTGGCAGTTAGAAGGGGACCATAAAAGATGGAAAACAAAAAAGAAAAAGTGAAGAGAAAGTGAGTGATTTGACGAAACAGTGTATATAAAAATTGTAAGGAGGCCATGAACAGTTACATCAGATTTCATGTGTTTTCTTGTCTCTCTTTCCCCTTGTTTTTTTTTTTTTTTTTTCTTTCATCATATAAACATAAAAAGCGAAATGACATTTATTGTCACCTTCGATCTTTTCCAATTCTCCATTTCTTCTCTCTCGTCTCCCCCACCAATCATTAACTTTGTCTTCAACCTGTAACCGAGTATTCTTATCCAATCACATATCGTCGGCCACCATTCCTCGTCACCCGCAGGTGATGCAGCTTTTACTTTTACGTTACTTTTTATTTAGGTTTAGGAATTTGGATAAGGGAAAGGTGAGTGAATACGACACCGTAAAATGATTACACATACATATGTAAGAAATTTTTTTATATATTATGCGGTAGTAAATCAATAGTGACCTGATTGTCGACGAAAGTGGATAGTAGTTGAGTGTTTCTTTACATGGGAAATTAGAGATAACCACTGCGTCTTATCAGCTAGCGATAAATGCATATAAATACACTTGTAAGTTTTTTGGAAAAAAGAAAATTAAAATATAGATGGGAGTAGTTTTGGCCTACATGGGTCGATCTAATTGCAAATTAGTATTTGTGACTTTATGAAAAGTTCAGTATCCTATAATTTGATGTAAATTATGTCATTTCACAAGAAACTATATGGTTATTTAAAGTATATATATAGCCCTGTCATAGTTTCAGAATTAATAATGAAAGAACTCAAAAATTACAAAATAATTGCGTAAAAAACCTATCGCTAGATACCCAACTGCTACCAGAGAAAATTCACAAGAATCAAACTTCTCCTACCAGGTAGAGTGAAACTGTAATTTACTATAAAAGAAAATCTATTCTACCTAATTTGACCTTTTTCTCTAAATTCTTAACGAAAGTCACTGCTCCAAAATAACGAAATACCATCCGAAACTGCATGTCTTTATTACAAAATGAACTGTGCACATGATTATCAAACTGATAAAATTCTACTACAAAAGCAAATCACATTGATATTGATCAAAGGAAGCAAACAGCTACTCCATCTGGAGAAAGCAGTGAAATGGCATTAGAATTTTCCTTCATACTAGTATTTGAAACAATGATTGAGTGATGCTTTGGTTTATGAACAAAGTCAAAAACCGGGGTTTTTACGGAATATCAATCAGTGATAACTATTTCTTTGTCGCCTATTGACCTCCAATTTATTGAGGGAGGGGAGATAGGCTATGTCGGTGCATGTGGTGGCTTCATCTGATATTGAAACTGAGAGGTGTTGGCGGCCGCACTGCTCGGTGGTGTAAAACAGAGATTGTGGACTGTCAGATGATTAAGTGATTTTGAAGGAAAAATGGCAGCGGAGGGAGGGGTAGCCGAGTAAGAGAATCCTGATGATGCTGCAGTAGAGAACAATGGCACTGGGGTTGCGGCGCTGACTTGACTATGCATTTGCCATGCCCAGTTGGGGAGACCTTGAGGAGAGCCCAACTCAATTCTCTTCTCCATTGCTCTTTCCTGAAAAAAATAAGTCAAACACTCAGCTATGCTTATAGTTACAAAATGGGATTCCCAGGAAGCTTCATACTTTGTTTAAACCACTCTAACATAAGAACCTTTCTTCTTCTTCTAAAGAACATTCAATCAAATATGCTTGCATGCCACCATCAAACTATCCACAAACATGCAACATGCAACTACAATATTATACTATTGCTCCATCAGTTTTCCACAGTACCAATATCGAATGCTCTGCCTCCTACTAAATTAAATTCATGCTATAAGATTGATCTGATGGAAACAACCATTGCAATCACAAATGTTATACCATTACACCACCAAAAGAATTCTGAAAACCCGGATTCTTGTGAAACAAACTTGCATGTATAGGACATTCAGAGAGAAAGAGTAAAGAAAAGTTATCTATTTACTTTAATACAGTCCCCTAATACAGTCCCGTTAATCTATTTATTATAATACAGTCCCCTTCAGCACTAAACTACTAGGTTGCATTAGGTTAGATTGGTTGGATAGGGAAGGAAACCAACTGAATGATTATTGATCACCGAATATTTACAAAGTAAAACTATGTGCCTATACCAAAAAATTAAAAAGTTATCCAAACTTGAAAAGGTTTAGATTAATAAATGAACTTCTGCTAATTTACCTCACTGGGGAATAAGCCAGGGTATAGACCATTCCAGAAAAAGGGTGGATCTGAAGTCCTTGCTAGCCCTTTGAAAGGTGGATCAACCAATGCTGCAGGCATACTGTTCTCCATCTGTGCATGCAAATCATAGAGAACATAAACGGACGATGGCATTGAAATCGACATCACAATAACATACTTCATCATCCGGCACACAAACTGAAAGGATTTAACATTATGAATCTCTTTGACCATACTATTTTTTTTAAAAAAATAACATTAATAAACAAATAAAGCCAATAAGATCATCTCTTGATTCCAACATCCAACAAGGCACCAAGAAGCCATTAATATCTCCAATGACTTCAAATCA